TAATGAACAAAATGGTTATGCGGCCCGCGCTCGTCATTCTCTCAGTTATCTGGCCCGCTGTGAAAAAGGTTTGGTGACCCCTTCCTTATAGTGATGGCACACGACGAGACACACATTCGGCATGTAATAATGTTTGAATACAAGAATGGAAAAATACGCCTCTGTAGCCACAAAGAATATCAATAAAAGTTTATGGAAATGTTTTGAACGTTCGTAAGTGTCAACAATGGTTCAGCAAATTTCATTCAGGTGACTTTAGCCTTAAACACTGTGATGGCAGCGGCTGACATATTGGAATTGATACTAATGCTCTGAAGACGCTTGTTGAGTATATCCCAAGGCAACACAGAATTGTCACCGGTGATGAAAAATGGATTCTCTATGCGAATATTAAAAACCAAAAACAATGGCTCAGTCCTAGACAAAAACCACTTCCGACCCCAAAACCTGGACTCCATCTTCAGAAAGTAATGCTTTCCATTTGGAGAGACATCAAAGGAATAATTCATTTCGAACTCCTCAATCCACAGCGAACTGTCAATGCAGATATCTATACTCAGCAACTGGAACGTTTAAATTAAGCCCTTCATCAGAAACGCCCTTCACTCGTAAATAGGAAAAGTGTTCTTCTTCTCCACGACAATGCACGTTTGATGCAACACAAGATTATGGAGTAGGGTTGGAAAGTTCTCCCCCACCCACCATATTCTTCAGATATGACACCATCAGATTACCATCTTTTTCGTTCGCTGCAACACCATCTTAATGGAAAAACTTATGCAAATGTGGAAGGTGTTAAAGAGGACCTCGACACGTATTTTGTTTCAAAGCCAAGTGATTTCTTTAATCAGGGCATTAACAGCCTGATTGTAAGATAGAAAAGCGTCATCGATAAGAATGGAGCCTATTTCATTTAATAAATGTTTTATTTTGATGTATAATTTGTTCTGGTTTTTTCATCTAATAAAAAAAAAGCGACATTAATTTCTTGACGGCCTAATACATAAATAAGCCACGTAAATTTGTAAAATTGTTTCCAAATTATACTACCTACATACTTGCAACACGTTGTTTTATTGTACATATGTTTTATTTATTTTCATAAATCTTAAAATGTTCAACCATTAATATAATAATTGTTTGTTTGTAATTAAGCACAAAGCTACACAAGGGCTATCTGTGCTCTGCCCACCACGAGTATCGAAACCCGGATTTTAGCGTTGTAAGTCCGCAGACATACGCTGTGCTACTGGGGGGGGGGCAATATGTTAATCTAGCAAAAATGCTGCAATAATAGTTGATAGCGCTCCGTTTCAGATTTTTCGCGGCGCACAGCTACATAAAGGGCTATTTACACATAATTGCTCCTAATTTTGAACAGATCGAATATAGGAGGAATAACTGTGGTAGTAAATTAATCCTTTTCTCCCTCAATATATGTGAGTATAAAAGTTATAAACAAAATACATTTCCTTGAATATGAACATACGTATCTCTGGACAGGACATTGTTCAGAAATATACAAAAGTTATTTGATTTTGTTTGTTCGTTTTCAATCTCAAAGCTACACAATGGGCTATATGTGCTGTGCCCACCTCGGGTGTCGAAATCTGATTTTTAGCATCATAAGTAAAGATAATTTCCCGCTGAGCCTCTGGAGGGCAAGTTATCTCAAACCTCAGCTTTCGGTCTAAATGAACAAGGTGCCTCTCCGATGAAAGATAATCAGTCAGAAAGCTAAAGTTTCTAATAAACTTTTGTATATTTCTGAATTCTGATCATTTTAGTTAAGTGTATAACATCACTCCGAAGGATAAGTTCAAGTATATATCACTGTAGCCTTGCCCTCTAGTGGTAAAATTTTGTTTCTTTGTTTGCAATTAAGCACAAAGCTACACACTGGGCTATCTATACTATATTCACAACAGGTATCAAAATCCGATTTTTAGCGTCATGTTACGAATACTATGAAACGGTAAATAATACTGGTTAGTATCTTCGTGAATATTAATTTCACTCCTTTGCTGGTTCAAGGAATATACCGACATGAACTACATCTAATATTGTAAGCTGAAATTTTAAAACATCTAGATTGAGGGCGCGGGTTGGTCCTGTGAAAGAGCTCAGGAATTCAGAGCTGGCGAACCAGATTCGAATTCATAAGGTACCACAAATATTCTCCGCATTTCAAGCTTTGGATATGTTATAAGAGTGACAGTCAAGCTGTTAGTGTAGATGATAGGGTGCTGTCTACTGGCTTTCTTTCACTCTGGTCAGTAGTTCAAAATTAAGGACGGTAGCAGATAGCCTTATCATTAAGTACCGTAGCATTTAATATTAGAAATCGTCATGAACAAAATGGCGGCCATAAAAATCGCTCATTTAAAACCACTTTTAAAATGTCTGAATATTAACAATGACTATCTCACAGTGTTGGCGAAACAAACCTAAAGCTGGTTGTACTTATAAAGCCGCCAAATTAGTTATATACGTGTTTATGGAATGAATTAAAATTTCAGTATTTGAACGAATTTTTATCTAAGTGAGTCAGGGACTTTTCCAGACAAGGGGACAGAAAAAATGACGAACCTTATCGCTCTACTTCTTTCACAGAACTCCTACGTCTAGGGTCCCAATCATTCTTTCTTGTACCGAAGGTGACACTAGTGTGTGGGTGTGTCTTTATATATATGAAACAGATGATGATCTACTTTTTTGGCATGTGATTAGATTTGAGGGTAGGTTGGTAGAGATATCCTGATGAGTAAAATCGAATCGGGTATACGCGCACCTCACGCTTGGTATTACTGGTGCAAAAAAATATAGCTAATAAAAAGGAAACAAACAAGTATAATAAGTAAAATAAGCTAGGTTAGGTATATATTGATGCCTACTTATCTTTATAATCTTAAAAGTTTTATTATTCATGTATATATATATATATATATATATATATATATAAGTA